ATTTAGGATTCGGCACAGGGTTTAGTTTGTAATGAGACTCGGGCGGCTTCGGGGGCTGCCCCATTCGGGTTGGAGACGGAGACATTTGAGCTGGTTCCTCCTGCCGAGGCTTCTGGGTCCCACCAGCAGGCCCCCTTTTTGTCTGCCTTTCCCCTGGACTCTACCGTTTCTTCAGGGGTAGAGGGTTTGGAGGACGGCTCTGCCCCGGGTCCCGACTTGGGGGATCTCGGGGCTGGAGAGGTGTCGACCTTGGGCCCCCTTTGGCCCCGCTTGGGTGCTTTTGCCTTCCTCGCTGGGCTTACTGTTGCAGGGTTTTCTTACCCCCCTTCCCTGTATGAGTATGATTTGATTTCGGCTCCTCCCCGGGTTCGGTTCTGGGCCCCTTTGTGTACCTCAGCTCCGTCTTTCCAGAGGTTTTCTACTTCTCGTATCTCCGCGAAGGAGACTCTGGAGGCTCTTACTTCATACCTCTTGGGAGACCCGGTTTATGCCTCTGTGATGGATCCGTCCTCTTTTGAGTTCGGTTCTTCTTCCTGCTTTTGGGTGCGTTTGGAGGTTCCGGAGTCTTCCTGGCTGGCAGAATGCTCTTTCTTTTCATTTTGGGCGTGGCATGGGTTCTGTCAGACCCGCACGCTTGATTAGCGTGAAACTTCTACAGTTCTGCAAGTTTACCTGGGGGGTGAGTTTGAGCACCTCAATACGTGCTTGTTCGCCCCTGTGCTTTTCGGGATTTTGGCCTTTTCCAGCTTCACGTGCAGGTTCTTCTTTTGGCATCGTTGGTTGCGGAGTTGTGCGCCCGTGGGCATTTGGCGTCGGTCTTACATTTTTTTTCGCTTTTCGAGCTGTCTTCTGCCTGGTTTAAGGAGGATGTGGAAGCATTGAGTGCCGGGCCTTTGTCTGGGGCGCTGACTTTGGCAGCTAGGGCGTCGGCTGCACTGTTGCAGCTCCTTGCACCCATCCTGAAGGAGGTGGTGTCTCTGTTTTTTTATTCTCGCCTCGCGTGCTGTCAGGCTGTGCTCGTCCTCTCTTTGGAATCCGCTTGAGCCCTGGCTCTTAGGTTTCTCTGTTTTGTCCAGAGGCTGCAGTCTCACAGTTTCTGCAAGCAGCTTCGTCTAGTTGTCGGACTTGTTGGTTCTCCAGGGCGGTCGTTCTCGGCTGTCTCGGAGGTGTTGTGCCAGAGTTCAGGGTTCCTCTGGTCGAGGAGGGCCATTGGTGCCAGTTCTGAGCCGACGTTGCCTTCGGTGCCGGCATCGTCTGGTTGGCGCAGTGGTTTCCCTGTTCGACGTTTGGTTTCTTGTAAGGGGCGTTGGCCCTTTCGCGTTTCGCCCCATTGACGGGGTGATAGGGGGGAGGCTTGCTCTGTTTGTGCACGCTTGGTCCAACGATTTGTGGGCCTTTTCGATTGTGTCATCCAGCCTGCGGTGGGGTTGGGCGGCTCGTCCTGCTTTCGGAGGTTCGGGACTAGCAGGGCAGGCTTCAACTCCTGTTCTTCGTCAAGTCATCTTGGAGTGGATGCGCTTGGGCATGGTGGAAATGACCCAATCCCTCAGGTGGGTTTCCCGCCTGTTTCCAATGCCAAAATGGGACTGCGGATCTGAGGTTTATTCTGGACTTGTCCCATCTGAGCCCCTGGATTCCTTGCCCCTCCTTTCGGATTACTACTCTGTCTCAGGTCTGGCTTGTGTTGGAGCAGGGTGCCTGGATGGTGTCCCTGGACCTCAGGGACACTTATTGGCACATTCCTATTCATCCAGGGTTCAAAAACTGGTTGGGTTTCGTGGTGGGGCGTCAGGCTTACCGCTTTCGTTGCCTCCCTTTTGGCTTGAATCTGGTACCTCGCGTTTTCACACGTCTTACCCGGGTTGTGGTGACGCATCTGCGTCTGCTAGGGATTCGGGTTTTGGCCTACCTCGACAACTGGCTGGTGTGGGCTCCTAGTCGGTCAGCTTGTCTGCTCACCAGGGATGTGGTTCTTTCCCAGCTCACCAGGTTCGGGTTCCTGGTGAACTGGAGGAAGTTCCATCTGGTTCTGTTCCAGGTTCGGACCTGGCTAGGTCTTGTTTGGGGTTCCCGGACCACTTCCTTGTCTCTCCCTCCAGAGGCGTTGCTGCGGCTGTGGTCTCTCTGTCGACTGTTTCTGAGGGGGGTCCCAGATCACTCAGTGGTTGCTCAAACGGTTGTGTAGGAGTCCTTCCGCCTCTCTCGCGATCATTGGGTTTGTCCTCCGGGGGCCTTGTATCGATTGCTGCATCGCTGGCTTCCTCTTCGGGGGTTTTCGGGGTTCGGTGCCTTAGCGCCTTCCCAAACCTTCGCTCAATGTGTTCACGGACACATCGTCTCTTGGCTGGGGCTTTGTGACCAGTGCTCACCAGGCCAGCTTCCGTCGAGCTCGCAGCACAGTTCGGGAGTTCGCAGCAGTCTGGTTCGCGCTTCGGAGGGTTCGGGTCGCTCAGGGTTCAACCATCCAGCTCCATTTAGACTGTTCTCAGGTGGTTCATTGCCTGAACCACTGGGGTTCTCTTCAGTCCTTGCCTCTTTGCAGTTGGTCCCTTCGAGTGGTTCGTCTGCTGGATTCTCCGGGTTTGGCTTTTCGTGCGGTTCATATCCAGGGAGTGTCCAATGTCCTGGCGGACGGCTTGTTTCGCTTCATTCCCCTGTCCATGGAATGGACGGTCAATGACGGCTCGTTTCGTTGGATCTGCCAGACGTACGGACTCCCGGACGTGGACCTCTTCGTATCGGTGTGGTCACGGCGCCTCCCAGTCTTTGTAACGCCCTTCCCGAATTGCGATTCATTCATGGTGGATACCTTTCGGCAGGACTGGTCGAGGTGAGGTTACCTGTACCTCTTTCCCCCGGTCCAGCTGTTGCTTCGGGTTTTGGGTCGGTTGGAGACCTTCCCAGGAAGAGTAGTCCTTGTGGCCGGCCCAGCCTTGGTTTCCGGCGCTGTTTGCTCGGTATCCGAATCCGGGAAGTTTCCTGCGACTCTGCCTTTTTCAACAGGTCGGACTGGTCTGGTACGGGACTGGTTCGACCTTCTCCTCTGCTTTTTAATCTGTTTTGACCAAAAAAAAAGTCTGGTCAAAAAATGGTCTGGTCTTTTTGACGCGGGTGTATCACCATTTATATGGTGATCAGGTGGCTTCATTGATGGTGTCCCACCTGAGAGCTTCATCTCGGTAACAGTATGAAGTTTCCTGGCATTCTTTTCAACCATTTTTTGCTCTTTGTAAGTTGCATTCTCTTTCGGATTGGGTTGTCTTGTCCTTTCTTTCTTGGCTTTTTCAGGACCGTTTGATGCCTAATACTGTCGCCTCGTATCGTGCGGCGCTGGCAGAGCCGCTCCAGCATGCGTTCGGAGTTGACGTCACATCTGCCCCGTAAGCTTTCTTGTGCTATGTTTCACCTCCAGCCTGCTCATGCGCCACCTCAGCCGTTCTGGTCCTTGGACAGGGTGCTCTTTTATCTTTCCTCTCCTTGGTTTGTGGTGGCCCCTTCGGTCCAAGATTGTTTTTCCAAGACCCTGTTTTTGTTGGCATTGGCCTCTGGGGGTTGGGTAGGGGAGCTTCATGCTCTCATCCGGCACAGGGTTTCTGCTCTTTTGGTCCTGGGAGTAGGTTTGTATGTTTGCAGCCTTCTCCGTCTTTTTTGGAGAAGAACAAGACGGCTGCTTTTCGGAGGGGTCCTTGGGTCATTGATGCTTGGTTGGTTCAGCCAGGGGGGCATCATGTGTTTTGTCTGGTTGCGGCTCTTCGCCGTTACCTGTGCGCCTCAGCTGGGGGTGACTGGGGATACGCTTTGGGTTGATCTAGTTTCCCTCGTTCACCATTCCAGGGCTCGGGTCTCCCAGGTTGTCTGCAGGGTTATTAAGTCTAGCCAGCCTGCGGTCCATCCCTACGCTCATGACGTTCGGAAGTTTGCAGCTTTGGCTGCTGTGTTTGGTAACATGTCTTGGGCTCATATTCGGGCACATAGATTTTGGAGATCGAACAGGGTCCTGGCCGCCCGGTATTTGGTGAATGTGCCTGCTCCTAGGCATTCTTGTGTTGCTTTGGGTCGCAGATTGCAGCCAATTGTCTCGACTTTGCGTTCAGGAGTTTGTGGCGGCCGCCTCCCGGGTAAGTCCCTCTTTTCCTTCTCTTTGGATGTGTAGCTCCAGGGAGCTGTAGGGACTCCCCACAGAAAACCAGCATTGAATGTAATGAAACTCCATTTTCTGGGTGAGCCCCGGAGGCTCCCTGGCAACCCTCCCTCCCGCCAGTCAGCGTTTTTTTCGCGTTGGTTGAAGCTTAGCTTCCGAACTGGAGTGCTAGGCAGCCGGCGCGGTGAGGTCCCCCCCCCCCCCTCCCACTTTCAGGGAGGGGAGGGCTGCATGGACGAGCGGCGCGGCAGTAAAATGTGATGTTTGCTTGTTTCCTTATTTCCTTGGGATTGTTGGAAGTTTCTACTTCTCTGTTCAGTTTTTGTTTTAGTTTCTTACCATGTGGGGTTTGTTTTGTTATGCCTACCTTTCTGGGTGCCTAACCCCGGTCGATGGCAGATAAGGAAAAACCCCAACCACAAGGGGGTTTTCCAGGGCCATTGCTCCCTGAAAGCTCTTTAAAGGAGCCAGGTTCTGGCGCTGGTCCCTGGTAGGTCTGAAATCCATAGCTAATGTCCCGATCTAATGTAAAGTACATTAGCCGATAAGCTCCAGGGAGCCTCCGGGGCTCACCCAGAAAATGGCGTTTCATTACATTCAACGCTGGTTTTTTATATAGGTAAGTTTTTCCTAATATATATTTCCCATTTGTACATATGTAGTATGTTCCAAGTTTTCCATACCTAATACAGTATGTTTACAATTTTAAAAAACCATATATATATTTTATACGTAGCATACATAACATAAGTAAGAATTGTGTCATGTAGGCAAAAGACTTTCCAAAGTTTCCTTTATCCTTATATTCTTGTTTTCTTATAGCATAAATAATATCTCTAATTTTTCTTTAATTTTTCAGAGGTTGTTCGCAAGATTTCAGACCTCTCGTGGCGTCTACAGGGCTTACGAGAGAGTGTGGATGGGGATCGAGGATCATTGGCTTCTCAGAGCTCTAGCCCCCAGGCTGCTCTCATCTCTGCGGCCCTCTCACACCATCCTCTCTCTAATACCTCACTTACACCCACCACTAATTCCACCACCCAGGTACCTAACAACTACTCACAGCCTCCAGTTATTAAGGTAGTCAGTGAACCTTCAGTTGGGATGGCATGTGATGTTACTAATGATGGTAAGCATGGCATGATGCAGCAAAGTTCGCTCCCTTGGCTTGATTATAATGCAGCTTCGCCTCACAGTACTCTAGGTTCAACTTCATCTTCTGGTAGTTCAGGTTATGGCAGTTTAACCCGTTCATCTCAAGCAAGTAATCCATGTGATGCTGAAGATACAATTGCTAGGGCAGTAGAAGATATCTGCTCAGCTGAAGCTAGTAAAACTACAACAAAACCTTGCACTGTATCACAGCATTCTTCACCATTAAATTCCAAAAAGAAAAAATCAGGCTTCTTGTTTGGTTTGACTTCCTCATCCTCATCTCCTTCGCTCTTTCCCTCCATGGCTGAGGCTGCCGCTGAACTAACTCCAACACGTAAAATTGGTCAAACAACAATTTATCCCGAGAGCCCCCGACCCCCGCCTCACAATGCGCACTGTTCTTCACAATCTCAGTTAACTGTTCCAAGTACCACACTAATCCCCCACCCTAATACACCTCTCCAAGGGCGCCACAAAGATTCCATTCTGCACCATATCCTACCCAGTCGTCTGTATCACTCTCCTCGTCCCCTCCGCCGAGGATCCTCTGCCGAGAATGTAGCTCAACCGATCGTCACCCCTCTCTCCCCTTCCACCTTTGACAACCAGATGGTCGCAAATAATGGCACTTTGAAGAGAGCCAGAACCAGCAGGGATCAGGTAGGGGTGCGGCTTTGCACTCCTCTTAATAGAAATTTGCTAATTTTCTGAATATTGCAGCCTATCCTTATAAAACGAAAGTACCTGTATATAGTAACTATTTGGTTGAAAGTTCCAATGTGACGTGATGGACTAACAGATAGTAGAATTTTGTATTATTGAACTTGGACAAACTGAAAACTTTTTTATCAGCAACATAAATACAAGACCTAACCTAACCTATCCTAGCAATCCTAGGCCTTATTCAAGCTATCTTAGGCCTATTATAATACATATATGTGCTATACTAGGCTGAGGAATATTTAGTTTTGGTTTTTAGCTTGATTTTTTCCAGACTATAAAATTAATAGTACAAAATTCTTTTATCTGCTGGTCCATCTTGTCATATTGATACTTTCAACCCCAAAGTTACAAAAGGTACTATCATTTCAGGACGATACGTTGGAATATTGAGCTTTGCGAAGATATACATACAGTATATAGAACAGAATAATAATTAAATGTTATACTTTCTTCGAATATGCTGATTTTTATAGTCAATGAGCAGTTCACCATCATCATCATAGTTTCAGTTTAAGTTACACTATTAGTTTTAATTGCTTTCTCACGAATCTTGGAGATTATATTATAGTCTTATTTAAGTTTTTTGGATTTATGTAAATTTATGTTGCTGAAAAGGATGAGACAAAATAGAAATGAGGAGCATATATGGAAGTCTGAAACAAAAGTGATTCAAAGATGTAAGAGAGTACATGAGTGCAGTGCGAGTGATATGGAAGCCGAATAAGCTGGAATTTGCCAGGTACATGACACTTGAGTGATAAACAAACCCCAACACACATACACATGAAATTATATAACAGTGACATTTTGGTCCATCCTGAACTCTAATCAAGTTGTGATAAGGTGCAAGATGAATCGAAACATTGTCACATTCCTATCTGTGATTTCGGATATTTGCTTCAGTCATGTTAATGCGATTTATTCTCTGCATTTAAGTAATGTTGGATCACTGTTATCGACATTAGTCCCACTTTTCTGTGGGGAGCCCCTAGGGCTCCCTGGAGCTTATTGGGCTAATGTATGTTATATTAGACCAGGACATTAGCTAAGGAGTTCAGACCTACCAGGGACCAGTGCCAGAACCTGGCCCCTTCAGAAAGGTTTCAGGGAGCAATGGCTCTGGAAAAACCCCTAATGATTGGGGTTTTCCTTATCTGCCATCGACTGGGGTTAGGCACCCAGAAAGGTAGGCATAACAAAACAAACCCCACATGGTAAAAAACTAAAATAGAAAACCGAACAGAGAGGTAGAAACTCCCTACAATCCCCAGGAAACAAGCAAACAAGCAAACATCACACTTTACTGTCGCGCCGATAGTCCGTGCAGCCCTCCCCGCCCCAGACCTCACCACGCCGGCTGCCTAGCATCAGTTCGTAAGCTAATGTCAACCGTGATAGACGCTTCTTTGGCCTCAGTTTCCTAGGTGGTGTTTGCCTTTCGTGGCATTCACTGCCGTGTATTGTGTTGTGCGGTGGCCAGGTGTTCCTCATCAGTACCGGGGCTGCATGTGCTTAGGGGCTTCCTTCCCTAAGCGTCCTGTGAGTACTGCCCCTGCGTAACAGGGTTATCTTCCCTGGGGCGTTCAGGAACCATTCCCGTAGAGGTTCTTGCTGCTCGGCATTTGCCTCGCCCTTGGGGCCAGCTGGGGCTTGGGGCCCTTATTTGACCCTGGGAAGGGACTGGTATTGTGCTAGTTAGGGCTTCAAGGTGTTGCACAACCTGTCACCTAAGTAACCGGTTCCTGTTGCCTCTGGGGACGGTGTACTTTTGCGGGGTTTTTCTTTTGTTTTTATTTTCATTTGCCTGGTGGGGGTTTTCCTAGTGTGGCTATAGTTCCACTGGTAGTATTTGGTGGCCCTCTGCTAGGTGCCCGTGATTGTACACGTTGCAGGGGTTTTCAGTGTTGTCCTCTACCCCTTGTTAGTTTTGGGTTTTAACCGGTTAGCAACACCTTGCCCGGGCTTCCCGTAGTTGTTACCCTATGGGCCCTGGAAAACCCTGACGGGGCTCGGTGGACCATTGAATGGGTTTTCCAGGTTCCAACCCGTCTTGTGCGGGTCCGTTGGTTGCTGTGCCCTTGTCTCCAGGTGACAGTCGCCACTTTTACCTCCGTCATGCTGCCTGTTGGGTCCCTGACACCTTGACCCAGAGTCTTGCAAGAGATATTCTCTGCTGGTTCTCCAGTACTCTCCTGATGTTATTACTGTTCAGAGTACAGGCGGCATCCGTGTTGCAACCTAGGTTGGGTTGTTGCAACATACTAGGTTGGTTTCCCACTCGGATGCCCCTGAGCCGCCTCGTTTTGGTTAGGTGCTGTTCGCCCCTTTCCCTCCCTGTTCCGGGCTCCAGACCGTCTGCGGGTTTCGGGGTCGGGGCAGGGTTTAGTTGGGGCGAGACTCGGGCGGTTTCAGGGGCTGCCCCGTTCAGGTTGGGGACGGAGGTTTTTGAGCCTGTTCCTCCTGCCAAGGTTTCTGGGTCTTACCAGTGGCCCTTTCTTGCTGCCTTTCCCATGGACTCTTCCTTTTAATTAAGGGCGGAGGGCATGGAGGATAGCTCTGCCCCGGGGCCTCTGCTGCGGGTTCCTGGGGCTGTGGGGGGATGCCTGCTAGCAGTTCTGGGGCTGTGGGGGGATGCCTGCTAGCAGTTCTGGGGCTGTTTGCCCCTGCCTGAGGTTTTCTGCTTCTGGGGTGAGTTTTTCACCCATCTTGTCTGCTTGCTTCCCACTTTTGCTGGTGTGTTTTCGTATCTTTTATGTCGGTCACAGCCCCTGTTCTGGTGGCCATTTTCTTTCTGCCGGTTTCCCGACATGGCCACCAGGGCGGCACGGCGGTTTGTTTACATGCGCCTGGGTGTGTGAGCGAGTGTCTTAGGCGAGTTTTTTCACCTCTTTCAGGGGTTTTATTCTCCTGTTGTCGTTTCTTTCTTTTTCTGGTGTTTTCTGCCCGTCTTCTGTTCCTCTGGGAACATTTGGGTGTTGGTTTTTACACCGGGTTTTCTGTTTTCTGTCTGTCTTGGGTCTGGGCCCTAGGGTTTGGGCTCAGTTTTCCTGTCTGTTTATGCTTGCTCCCACACCTTGTCCCTCGGTTTTCAGTCTGTTTTGGCCGTTTCCCTGGGAGTTCTGTCTGGGGGCTGTGCCTTACCTTTCTGTGGTGTATTTCCACCAGCAAATGTAGTGGTTTGCGCTCCCCCGGGTTTGATTCCGGGTTCCTTTGGGTTCTTTGGTTTCGATCCGGAGGTTTCTTCCTCTTAGGCTCCTTTGTGGGTTCAAGGGGTTTTGTTTCCTTGTGTGTGACCCGGTTCTGTCTTATGGGGTTCCGGGGTCTTCCTGGCTTGCAGGCTGATCCTTTTGAGTCTTGGCACGTGTTGTGGTCGTGCCGGGACTTTGGGTTTTGTTGTCGAGGTGGGCCTTTTGATGCAGTTTTGAGCTTCCTTTGTGCCTTCTTCGCCTGGCCGGCGTGGTGCTTTCTCCCCACTGGTCGGCGTCTTGTATTTTTCTTTTCACGTGCATTTGTGTGTACACATGTACATGTACATGTGTACACGTGTGTGTGTGTGTGTATGTGTTTACTAGTTGTGTTTTTACGGGGGTTGAGCTTTGCTCTTTCGGCCCGCCTCTCAACTGTCAATCAACTGTTTACTAACTACTTTTTTTTTTTTTTCCCACACCACACACACACACCCCAGGAAGCAGCCCGTGACAGCTGACTAACTCCCAGGTACCTATTTACTGCTAGGTAACAGGGGCATTCAGGGTGAAAGAAACTTTGCCCATTTGTTTCTGCCTCGTGCGGGAATCGAACCCGCGCCACAGAATTACGAATCCTGCGCGCTATCCACCAGGCTACGAGGCCCCCTCGTATACATGTATGTATGTATGTATGTATGTATGTATGTATGTATGTATGTATATGTGTATATATATATATGTGTACACACACTTTTGGAAGGGGCTTCATTCCCTTCGCTGTTGATGGGGCGTTGGGGGAGTAGCTTGCTCTGTTGACTCTCGCTTGGTCCCGCAGTTAGTGGGCGTTTTTGGTTATCTTCCGGCCTCTGGTGGCGGCGGACGGCTTCTCCCCCTTTGGGGGGTTCGGGGCTGGTGGGGTGGGCTTCTTCCCCTGCGCTTCGTTATGTCATCTTAGTGGGTGCGTTGGATGTGGTCGATCCACCCCATCCTTCCGGGGTTTCTGTCTGCTCTATGCAGACACGGGACTGGTGGATCTGCGGTTCTTCTGGACTTGTTCAGTCTGTGCCCTGGATTCTTTGCCCTCATTGGAGGACTGTTGTCTCCGGCCGGCCTCTGTTGGGGCCGGGTGCCTGGATGGTGGCCCTGGATCTCCGGGTCACTTCTTGGCGCGTTTCTCTCCAGGTTTCCAGGACGGGCACAGTTGGTGGTGAGGCTTCAGGCTTGCCGCTTTTGTTGCCTTCCCTAGTTTGTAATTGGCACTTGATGTATTTACGCATCTTTACCGGATCTTGGTGCCCTCTCTGAGTCTGAGATTCGGTGTCTGGCCTACCTTGACGACTGGCTGGTGTGGGCTCCCAGTCGGTCCGCTTGTCTGCTCGCCAGGGGTGTGGTTCTTTCCAGATTGCCGGGTTCAGATTTCCTGGTAATCTGGAGGATGTTCCATCTGTTTCCGTCCCGGGTTCGGACCTTGCTGGGTCTTGTTTAGGGCTCTTGGGCCGCTTCATTGTCTTTCCCTCCAGAAGCGTTACTGCGGCTGTGGTCCCACCTTCGGCTGTACATGAGGGGGTCCTGGGTTGCTTAGTGGTTGCTTGAGAAGTTGTGCGGGAGTCTGAACTTCGACGTGCTGTCTGCCCGCAGGTTTGGGTTTGGCTTTGGCGTCAGTTTGGTTCCTTCAGAGACTCCCCTTCCGCCTCTCTTGCATTCGTTGGGTTCGTCCTCTGGGGATCTTGTGTTGGTGCTGTGTCACCA